ACCCTGTGCCTCCTGCCCCGTGTGGGGCCGGGGGGGTACCGAGGCCGGGGCAGGGGTCCCCCGTCTCCGGGGGTGGGGGCGGGGGGAGCGCTCCCGTCTCTCCCAACACTCATGGCTTACACTAGCAGCTTATTGCACGGCGTCCCAGCGGCCCCCCCACCCGCTCCCCCCCGGCCCACAAGGGCAAATCACTCGAGGCACGTGGAAGGCGGCCACCCCCGCACCGGGAGGAGGGCGGTGAAAAGCAGGCAAACCGCCTCTGCCAGCGCCCTGGGGGGGCACGGAGAGCAGAAGCCCCGCAGAGAACCCCAGGCCCCCCACCCGAGACCCCCCTGCCAGGGTACAGCTCAGCAGGGAGAGGGGGAGCCAATAAATAGAGGCAGATTTGCGGGTGCTGGTGGCAGCCCCGTGCGCCCGGGGAAGCCTGGGGCTGGCAGAGGCTCCTGCCCGGCGCGGGGCAGGGCAGGGCGGGATGGCGAGCGGCAGGAGCACCCGTCCTCGGGGAAGGGGCGGTCGGAGGGAGCGCTCTGTCCCCCCAGGGGGGCAGGCGGCTCTGCGAGGGGCTGGCGAAGGTGCTCTCCCCGGGGATGGGCAGGCTAGCTCTCCGAGGCCGTGTGGCACACAGAGTTCTGATCAGCACAAAATCTCTTCAGAGGCGGTGCACTGGAGTCCTCCTCCTCTTCAGTTACCTGCAAGAACCAGAGGTCACGGGCAGCGAGAAGAGCTCAGCATGCCCTCCGAGCCACGCAGACCTAGACAATGCTGTGTGACGCTGTGGGGACACACTGGGCTTCCATCTGTGAAGAACCTCCAGGGGATTGGGAGTGGAAACCCACTTCAGCCCCAGAGTTGGGTAGAATTGTTGCTTCACTGCACCTCCGCATCCCTTTGTCACATGTGAACACCCCAACTGACCCAGGGACAGCTTGGGAAGCTGGGAGGTTTGGGGAGCTCCTGAAGGGCACTTTGGGACTGCAGAGCAAGTCCATCTGTTGAGATGATTCTGCTACAAGGAGCAGCAACAAGAGAGAAAGGGCCAAGCTGGGTCTGTATTTAGACGTGGTTTCAAGCCCCCTTCTCTTACCTGAGTCTCAAGGGGGACTGGCTCTTCCTTTGTGAGAGTGGGAGGCTCGTCTGCAACTTCCGAGGAAGGCAGGGAGGGCTCTGGGGAGAACAGAAGGGTTAACGAAACTGCTGACCCAGGAGCTTGGCGGTGCCCAGCTGAGTGCTGAGCCAGGAGAGGCCTCCAGCAGAAGACACAAGTCTCTGCTGCCCTGTCCACTTCCAGCAGTGCCTCAGTCACCCGCCGGACAAGCAAGGGCTCCAGCAGGGCCTTCCTTGGGCCCAGCCATCATCTCCTCCCTTCCCAGCACAAGCACCCACCTTCCAGCGTCTCCTGCCCCAGTGTGGGTGGCTGTGAGTCATCCGTGCGGAAGTCGGACGTGTGGGCAGGACTCATAGACTCGCTCTGCTGGGGACTGGGGCTGGAGTTGGGGCTGCTGTCCACCTTGAGCTGGTAGACATCTGACAGGGAGCTCTGGTTGCTGTTCTCATCTGCAGAAACAGCACCTAGTGAAGAAGAGCACCTTGACCCAGGGGCACAGGCGGCCGAGGGCAGCAATCAAGAGCCGGGGTCTTAGAGAGAAGGAAGATCACAGTCAGAGGCAGTGAAAGAACAGAGGATTCGCCATCAACTACCAACATAAGCACTGCTGGGCACAGGACTCTCAGCTGGGACACAGCTGGCATCAGAGACACAACTGACCCTTGGGAGAGGGGGTGCTTCTGAGCAGACAGAGAGTGACCCCGGGCTACTCAGAAAGAATGGGCAGAAGGCACAAGGGGCAGTATAAAGTGCAGCGCTGCCAAGTCTCATGTCTGCAGCTTGCGAGTGCCCCAGGCACTCGAAGGAAGGAGAACTCTTGCCCACTTACCAGGGTTTTGTACCTCCTCTGCTTGGGCGACAGCAATCTAACAGCAGGAGCAACACCCAGAACCTGCCTCCGGACGGGGAGGCAACTCTGGCACACACAGTGGCAGCCCCAAACTGCAGACCTACAATGCTAACATCCTCAGCACATCTACTGGAAGTGCCAACACACTCCCCAATTTCCCATGGCTGCCCTGAGAGGTGAGGGGGACACTGGGGACAGATGTACACCCTGCTCCAGCAGTGAGTCCTTGTGTGGCTCCACCACAGAGCCCGGCCTGCTCACAGCTGGCTGCAGTCCTCTGGGATCAAGAGGAAACTCAAGGAGATCCTCTGCCCTTTCATCCTAAGGTCCGTACAAGTCACTGCTGGAAGCAGGGAGCTCAGCTGTAGGCAGCTGCCGGTCTCTCCCCATCACGGACTGCAAAGTGGGGACAGGAATCCCCACTCCTCCAACTCCCCGTGAAACTTCCACAGTAAGATCCCAGCAGCAAATTATTATGATACTTGCTGACAGCAAAAATGAACAGCTTCAGCAGGGACAGTCCAGAATCGGATCAGCACAACCCCATGCTGAACACAAATGCATAAATGTATATTTATGCATAAATAGGCCAGCAACATTCTAGCTTCTCTATGGCTTTAGAGTCCTTCCCCAGCCTGAAGGGGGCTCAGCCAGGCTCACCTTGGAACTCCAGGAGGAGAGAGGAGTTGGCAGAGGTGTCAGCTGGGAAGCCATTGGGTTCTCGAGCATTACTGCTGCTTGATTTGGATTTCTCTTTCTTGAGGAAAGGAAGAAAAGCAGAAACGTGAGGTTAGAGGAGCCCACCCTGACAAGAGGGTGTCCAAAGCGCTTCCCTCTCCCTCTCCTGGGCAGCCCAGAGGGATGTGCTGGTGCAGACTTTTTCCTTTTCCAGCATTTTTCTAACTGAGGGGAAAAACTTCAGCTGTGAAGCGTTCGGAATCGGGAGAGCGGGAGCTGACACCCAGCCAAGAGCAGCACCAAATACCAGCAGGTGCCCTGGGGACTGAGGCGAGAGGGGCCGCAGGGGGCTCAGGGGCAAGGGTTCTCGCAGGGGGAAAGCACAGAGCCAGCGGCAGGCAGGGATCAGCGGGAGATCCCCCCCGCCAGGCTGAGGGGGCAGCCAGCCCGCACCCAAGCACAGCCGGCGCCGGCCCCGGCCCCGGCGGGGAGCCCCGGGAAGCGGCAGATCCCGGAGCCGGGCCGGGAACCGCCGGGGGCGGGGGGCGGCGGCCCGCGCGGTACCCACCTCCTTGCTGTCGGCCACCGGCACCCACTTGAATATCCGCAACGAGGTGTCGCCCACCGTCACCCACTTCTTCTCCCTGCGCGGACAGAGCCGTTACCGGCGCCGGGGCCGGCCCGGGAGAAGCCCCGCCCGCCTGCGAGGCTCCGATTGGCCCAAAGGAACGCCAATCCAGAGCCCCGCCTTCCCCGCCCCCTCACCCCGCATGCCTTGCTGTGATTGGTCGTGCCGCCCGCCGATCGCCAGCGCTTCCGGCACCCCCCAGACTCCCGAGCAGACGGAGCACGCTAATTGGCCGCCGCCTCGCTACACCCGCCCGCTACCCCACGCGGGACGGTGATTGGATACCCGCCGCCGGAGCACGTCCGCCGGCACCCGTGTGGTGCGGTGATTGGCTGCACGCCGGGCAGGCCCCACCCCTCCCCCCCGCGGCCCCGCCTCTCACCATCTGCGGACGCGCTCGATGGCCGCCATCACTTTTTTGATGTCATCCTTAGCGCGGCTGCGGGTCTCGGCGCGCACCGAGCGGCCCGACATGGCGCCCACAGCCCCGGCAGCCCCGGCTCCGCCAGCACCCGCCGCGTCCCTTCGCGCATGCGCGCGTCCCGCCCACGCCCTGCGCGTCCCGCGTCACCGCGTTCGCCACGCCCGGAGGAAGGGCAGGCAGCGGCGCGTACTGCGCCTGCGCAGCTCGCCCCGCCCCCCTGCGGGCACGCAGCCGACGTGAGGGCGGAGCGACGCCGACATCTTGAGTTGGGGCACGGTCCGCTCAGCGCCGGGCGCCACCCGGCCTCCCCCCGCGCAGCGCCGGCGGCTCCTCCGCGAAAGAACCCCCGGCCCCCTCCCCTCCTCTCTCAGCCCAGAGACCCCCACGGCCCTGTCCGAGCAATCACACCCCTGGGTACCGCTGCGAGAGCGGGTCGAAGCCGCTGGAAGGAAACAAGCCCCAGGGTTGCCCCCACCACCCCCAGACAGAGGCAGCCCCGGCTTCCCCTCCCTGCTCTCGGGACACAGGCAAGGAAGGACCCGGCACGGGTTTTATTACAAGTTGTTCAGTGTTATTAAAAAACAACCAATCCCCAAAAGCGGGTGCCTGCGCCCACAGGGCAGGACTAGCGCTTCTTGCCGTAAATGGCAGCCAGCGCTTTGCGGGCGCTGGAGATCTGCTGCTCCAGCCGCTCCTGGGTGGCTTTGTTCCTGGTTTTTTTCAGCATGGCCTCCATCTCCTCCACCACAGCCCGGTGACCAGCAGCGTTGTGGAAGATGCGGATGGCCCGGTCCCCGCAGGACACCAGGTAGTGGCTGTTGGTGTCAAAGGCCAAGTCTGCGATGGGCTGCCCATGCACGGCCAGGAAGCGCTCCTCCTCCTCGCCGCGCCTCGTGTTGTACACCAGGATGTCTGCGCCGCTGGAGATGGCGACGATGCGAGCATCAGGGGACAGGGCAATGCGACATGGCCCCGTCACCTCACACTTCCCCGTCAGGAGCAGGTAGGGATCCTGTTGCTTCTTATATTCCACGTCTGTGTCCCAGAACTTCCATGTCCCATCCTTTGAGATAGTGGTCATCCTGCAGCCGGGAGACAAAGCACAGGTGAGCACAAGAGAACCAGCAGCACCTCTTACCCTTCTCACCCAGAGTCCTCCACAGAGCGAGTGTTCCTTTAGGAAGGGCAAGTGCCCATGTACAGTCCTCATCCTCTCTCCAGAGCTCAGATAGCTGCACCCCCAGGAGGAAATCCATGGGGAATACGCAGGGGGCAGGAGCCGGTCAGGGCTGTGCCTGCCGGGAGAGCTGTGGCACACACCAGGAATGGGGAGCTCACGTGTGCCAGGAGCCAGAGTGAATGACATCAGGCAGTGCTAACACGCACTCACCTCCGCGAGTCGTTAGAGAAGGAGAAGCCGTGTACACTAGCCGTGTGGCCTTTCAACTCAAAAGCCCTGGCCACCTCCCGGAAGTCTCCGTTCTTGCCAAAACACACCTCCCACACCTTCACGTCGGGGGTAAAGCCACAGGATGCCACAAACCTGAGTGAACAAACAAGCAGAGACACAGGGCGTGTCACCCACCATGGGGCCAGCCCCACGCAGAGGGGCACCTATGACAGGGCTCCAGGAAAGCAATCCTACCCAGCCTCCCACTCTTGGGTCAGCTGGAAAAGTTCTCACTTTTCACTGAAACAAGGCTGGTAAGGGGAACGCTGAGAAAGTCCAACGGAGACCAGAACAACTTAGGAATGAGAAACTCTTAAGCCAAAGTAAAAAGCTAACTATTTTTGATCCCCAAATTCACTGAGCCTGGAGCACAGCAAAGTCTTCCTGTAGCAGCAAATTAAGAGACAGAATGGGGAACAAGATTTTCCTGATAAACTAATTTCCCAGTAATAAAGATTTTAATACTATAATTAACAAGTTAGAAATGCTGCTTGCTTTGCATATGCCACTTGCATTGTCCCACCTCTCCTGTCTGAGGCCAATGCTGTTCTCCTCAGCTCTTCAGGAGACGGTTAATGGGAACAGTGTTGCTGAGGCACAGCAGTAACCCACCAAGTGTCTGAGACTACACAGGCAGAAGTCAGCGCTCAGGGGCTACTCTGGGGGGCTGGAACTGCTTTCAGGAATATGGAACCCTCACAAAACTGCACTAAAGTAACAGCTAACTGCCAATGGTCTGAACTGATGATGTCCTCTAGGAAGGAGCAAGGTTCCTGTTTATTCCTGTGGCCTCCCACTCTGTGGCAGGAGCAGCCTGGAATACCTCACCCCCCTCACCTCCCGCAGGGTGACACCGCGGCGTAGGCATTGTTCATCTGGTTAGTGTTAATGCTGGCCAGGACTTCACCCTTCGGGCTCCATATCAGGATAGTAGTGTCACTGGAAGCTGTCATGATAAACTTTCCTGGGGGAAAAAGGCAACGATCAGGATTGCTCCCAGGCCTAATCCTGCCACAGACTAATCCAAGGCCAGGGACTGTCCCTGAGCAGGGCAACATCCCCTTGCACCTGTGGAGTCACAGACCCCAAGAGCTGCACCAAACTTCAAGGAGTGTCAATCTCCAGGGACAGAGCGAAGAGCAGTATCAGAAGCCTTGGCTCCTGGTTGTGCCTTAGTGGACCCTTAGCTTCAGCAGCCGCCAACGATAGGTAGGCACTGAGACCACATGTGTCCATGGCACAGCACCCCTCCGGCCCCACCGCAGAGCTTAGCGCTGAGCTGCAGTAATGCAGCAGACTCCGTTTTCCCCAGTTAAAACACACCTTGAGGTATCTGTAGCTTTCAAGTCATGGATCGTGGGACAGTAACTAACTGTTAGTAGCTACTATTATCCATGATTACTGGTTGTGTCAGCATTTTGGACTCCTATTTGCAATGCTTTCTCGTTCCCTATCTCAGCCCAGACAGGGAGTTGCCTGTTTACCTTCCAGCTCCTTGTTGCACGTTTAAGTTTTCACTTTCACAGCTGAAAAAAGGTCTCAATTAACATTTTCTCTGCTCTCCTATTACAGAACTGAGCTCACATCCACCCACTTCCAACTGCCTGCTGTATGTACCTGTAACATTAATCCATCAAGCCCTTGCCACTAACACATCCCCCCACCCCAGCCTCTGGTTTAGAAGATCCCAGAAGTCCAAGACAGACCATATGAACTCACTAGAGAGATTTTTGGCTGGTTAAAGACAGACTGGTGGGCCAGCAATCCTCTCAATACTGAGACCAGACCTCTTTGCAACAGCATCCCTGAAAATGCAAATTAAGAAACTGTGCATATCGGAGAGCTAGTTCTGTGCTTACAGGACTATCATCTGTCTGAAAACAATCTCTTTCAGTTCATTCAGTAGTAAACAAAGGCTAAAACGTAACAACAAAGAGACAACAGAGCATCAAGTACTGGTGCAAAACGGAAGAATTCCAGCATTTTCAACACAGCAACTCTTGCTTTACAAGGAAATCAAAGTTGATCTTGAGAGCCTCAAGAAGTGAGCAGCTCATTTCCATACCTGTCTCTGCAATTCCTATGTTAATGACAGGAGCCTTGTGCTTCTTTGGGAAGTCCCCAGAAGTTGCAGTGAAGGTGAAGCTGTCATCATCCTTCTTAGTCATTTTATATACACGAATAGTCTCTCCATTTGCCAGCCAAACAATGAATGCCCTGTGGAAGGACAGACACTCTGAACAGTTAAGAAACAGGCTACCTCAGCTCAGCCTAGCTACAACAGGTAAGCTAATAGATCACTCAGTGGCACCTGGGGAAAGGGATACACCGGCAGGTAAATGCTGTGTGTTTTACAAGGGCACCAAGTTCTCTCCCTGCATTAGCTCAACTGCAATGCTGAATGGAAAAGAACAGAATTTGTTACTCCACATCTGGAAACAAGACTCCTTTCTCTCTCTAAAAGAGGCCGCTTCACAAAGTGCCAAGGCATGCCTTTCCACCAACCTTCCCAGCCAGCAAGAGCTTTCTCCCCAACCCCACAGAAAGGCTCAGCTGCTCAACCCAGCTGCAGGGCACCTGTTGGCAAAGACCTTAACAAGCACCTTCCATGGGTGCAGAGAACTGGGCACTAGGATATTTGCCTTCAGAACCACATTAAATTGCCAGCTGCTTTCATGAGAGGCCATGAATCAGCGGTACCGTTAAGACCCTGTGAAAGCTGTCACCTCTCTGCAGCCCAGAGGACACATCACTGAGCCCAACCGAGATTTGGGCTGTGTGACCAGCAGCTATGTCCACAGGACGTCCCAGTCCCTGGGCTGGGGGGGTATGAGGTGCGGGAGGCCTGGCCCTACCGTGAGTCGGGGCTGAGGCAGACAAGCTCTGCATGGTCCAGCCGCACGTTGACACGCAGACAGCGGTGCTCCCGCGCCGTGAAGTCTCGGGTGCTCCACAGCCGGACCGTGCGGTCATCGGCACACGACGCCAGGTACTTGCCGTTGCTGCTGAAGTCCAGGCAGGAGACTGATCCGCTGTGCCCCTACGGAGAGAGCGCGGTCACCGCGGGGGGGAGGCGTGGGGAAGGGG